CCCCCCCCCCCCCCAGTTGAGAACCATTGATCTATACCAAAATGCTCTTTTATTTTGAAAACTGTAATCCAGAGTTTGAGAGAATCCTTGAAATAAGTAAAAGAAAAGGAGAAATTGTCCTGTTTTGAGAAGGTATTTTATAATAAGTAGGGAAGACCTTATGATTCTAGTTGTATTAACTCTGGTAACTATATAGATCACTTTGTTTTAGACTTTGATAAATTTCGTGGTTTTTTTTTTCCCCCCAGCATATTATGACAAGACCATTTTTCATAGAGTTGTACCTGGTTTTATAGTCCAAGGGGGAGATCCTACTGGCACAGGAACTGGTGGGGAGTCTATCTATGGAGCCCCATTCAAGGTGAGATCTAATTTATTATTATATATTTGCAAGTCAGCTTGGATATCTTAATGGAAAATGATTATGCCCCACAAGAAAAAAATGCATTTTGCATTAGTGCACAAAATCACATATTTAGAATTACACAGGTATAAGAACAGTACTTACCCTATCAAGCATTCTTTCTAAGTTGTCTTATCACAAACTTTTATGCTAGATTGAGTTCAGGTGGAGATAAAGGTGAGTAAAAAATAAAAAGCTATATAATATATTTTCTGATATCTGCCTGTATCTGATCTCTGCAACTCTAAATGTAAAACATTTTTAGAACATTGCGTATGCCATTCCATTTTAAAACATTTAATTTAATACTACATAAACTTTGTATTAATCTGCTTTGACCTCTATAACAAAATACCACTGAGTGGGTGGCTTAAACAACAAAAATTTATTTCCTACAATTCTTAAGGCTAGGAATTCCAGCCAAGATCAAGATGCTACCCTTCGGTTCCTGGTGAAGGTTCTCTTCCTGGCCTTTTCACTGTGTTTTCACATGGTCGAGAGAGAGGGCTCTGGTGTTTCTTCCTCTTCTTATAAGGGCACCAGCCCTATTTGATTAGGGCTTAGCTCTTATGACCTCATTTAACCCTTATCATCTTCTTACAGGTCCTCTCTGAAGTATAGTCACATTGGGGGTTAGAACTTCAAAATAAGAATTTGTGGGGAGCACAATTCACTCCATAATAAATTTAATTCTAAATTTTACGTAGTAGATAGACCTCTGTAGCACAAAGTGCATGCCCTAACTGGAAATCACAAGGGGAAAGGCAGAAAGAAGCAACATAAAATTGTTAGGAAAAGGTGTGAATATTAATGAAGAATAGGTTAGTGTTTTGTTAACTGCCAACTAGATCTAAAGTGAGAAAAGAGTTAATGTTATGCTTAAGACATTAAGAATAACAATGGGTTCAAGTGAAAACTAAAAGTTGGAATATTTATTGATCTGATGGTACCAATATCATTTTCTTTGAATGAGTAAACCTTAAGAACTCTTAAAATATGGTGTTTTTGAAAACTTGGTGTTTATGCTAATGGGATAGAGTACCTGGGGTTTCCTTTAATTTTTTACTGGTTCACTGTGATTCTTGAGGAAAATGCATGAACTGTTTTTGTTTGCTTTAATTTCCAGATGATGTCTTTAGACAATGTGGAATGGTTATAAAAGTGTCTCAAATGTTTATATTTTACCAAATCGAGATGTCTTATGATTTTAGAGCCTCCATCTAGTAGGAATCATTCCTTTATTCTGTTATTTGGTGAAACAGTATTTCTTTTTGACTATTTCTAAATTGAGATTTTTGCTAATCATGTTCAGCTAATGAGTTATCTTGGTAAGTTTCTCAATTAGGTCATTTTTAACACAGTATACAGAGTTGTGATCCTTTGCGTTTAAATCTCTTGAAGATATTTATTAAGGGAGAATAACTTCCTTTCTGAAAAGTACTGATTACATAACATGGCTATATTATAAATGAGTCTAGTATCAGGCCTGGGTAGAAATTCTGTTAACTAAGGGACTAATGTGTACGTTATGTAGCCTGACCATGGGAAGAAAACCACCTTAGAAAGACTTCCTACTGCCCTTTTAACAGTTGGCAAATGGGACCATTGCCAGTTCAGAGAAGATTTAACTTAGGATTCTAAAAAACACAGTAAAGCACATAACATAATCATAGTAGATTTCTTGAATTAAAAACCAAGAAGAAAGCAATTGTTGCCTGACTTTTAGAATGGAGTGGGGAGGGGCAATAGTTGAAGACTCTTCAGTGATTAAGGTAATTTTCTTGGAGAAAAAATAGAAGGTTCTAAAAACTTAGATGACTTTGAAGGATGGGGAAAACAGGAGAATGACTCTCAGAAATCCATTCCCGTTTAAGTACCCTTTCACTATGGAAGTAGGCAGATTTCCACAAAATAGGCTAAATTTGTAGCTGAGTATATTTAGAAGATACAGGCCACTGAAGTCAAGTTTAATAGCATTGAAGGAAGTAAATATTGGATTTGATTATTCTTGAAAAACAGTTAAATAAAACCAGCATTTTTTATTAGAAAGTATATGGACCTTGCTGGTTATCTGAATATGAAGGGCCTTATCACTGAGGTCATTCACTAAATCTTTTCTTTTTTATGCTTCAGGATGAATTCCACTCACGGTTGCGCTTTAATCGGAGAGGACTGGTTGCCATGGCAAACGCTGGTCCTCATGATAATGGCAGCCAGTTTTTCTTTACACTGGGTCGAGCAGATGAGCTTAACAATAAGCACACCATCTTTGGAAAGGTTTGTGTCCATTATATTACGCTTCTATGATACATATGATCAACTTATCTAAGAGTTGCCTTCATAAATTATTCCTAGGATATTTATTTATTTTCAAATATGATGGAAAATATTCTGTTAGAATGAATTATGAGGGGACACCTGAATTTTTGTGTGTGTTTCAAATAAGGCATTGGTTCTGACTTTAAATTTTTCTTTTTTCTAAAATCATACTAACTGTATTAGCTACTCTGTTACTCAGCTGATACTGTTTTTATGTTTTTAGAAAGACACTTAGGTAATAAAATTTAGTAGTTGAAAGTTTGTTTTGTTGATGAATTCCCTTAAGTTTAAAGTGTAAGTTATATTAACATAAAAATTGTTTACCTGAAATATTACTTTTAATAGTACCTTTTTAATCCTGCTCCCAATCAACGTCATATCAGGGAATGTCATTACCGTAGAATTTTCAACGGTTTTCCTTAAAAAAGGATTTCTGAAGGTTTTCTTTTCTTACTCTTCTTCCTTCTCTTAAATACTACATCCCTGTGTTTTGTTTTAGGCATGTTAGACATCACTAGTGTATCAGCTCCCTCTGCTGGTTCGGTAGAATGGTTTTTCACATCCTAGGCAAAACTGGATTTTGTGAGGATGAGAGGGAAAAAACAAACTTAGCACGACTCTAAATTTGTTATTAATTTAAAACTTTTGAGAAATGTTGAATGAAAGGTGTCCATTAAAAACATGCAATACAATATTGTTGCTTAATACTTAACAACGTGGGTTAAAAAATATGCATTGGCACAGTTGAGCCACTCTAGTTGTCTGATGTTCATAAATTTTACTTTCTGTTATTTAAAAAAATAAACGTGTATAATAAATTGAGATTTAGGTTGCCATTCTGCACCGTTTACAGTTGACGTTATATAACTTACACAATAAAGTATAGCATAAGGGTTAAAATTCTAAAGGCCATCGCTGTTGGCTCTATAACTTCTTTGAACCTCAATTTTCTTATCTGGAGAAGGAAGATAATGATAGTAGCTACTTTTAGGATGTTTGTGAGGATTAAATGAGATATCTACAAAACACTTACCACACATTGTTATTTGCTTGTTCTACCCTATTCTAAAGTCTGTATTTGTTTATGATGTTTGAATGAAAAGTTGTCATTCAGTAAGAGGTTATTTGGCATTATATTTTAGTTTTTAATAAAAGACGATATTAAGTATATGTTGGAAATTTTCCAAAAATTTTATTGAGGGGTTGCACTTCATCTGTGCTTTTTCCTCTTAAGGTGAAGTTACTTATTTGCATTATTTAATGTACATGCATTTGTAAAACAATATGAAATTCCCCTTTAATTATTAAAAAAAGTATTTTCAAAAGTTTTTCCTTATCTCAAAGAATGAATGTAATAACTTGCAATTAAATTTTCATTTTTATCTGATAGATTACAGGGGATACAATATATAACATGCTGCGACTGGCAGAAGTAGACACTGATGGTGAAGAAAGGCCACTTAATCCACACAGAATAAAAAGCTGTGAGGTAGGAGCATGATTAGTATAATATACAGCACTTAGGCACTGTCATTTAAGATAAATTGATTGTGGGGTTTTTTTTAAAGAATAGTTTATTGACATTTTAGAGCGAGAAAGGGAGAGAGAGAGAAGGAGAAATCTATGTGAGAGAGTAACATCGATTGTCTGCCTCCTGCACGCCCCCTACCCAGGATGGAGCCCACAACCTGGGCATGTGCCCTGACCAGGAATCAAACTGGCAACCTTATGGTGCAGAGGATAGTGCCCAACCAACTGAGCCACACTGGCCAGGACTGATTGTTAGTATTTTTAACCTATCAGGTGAAGTCTTTATACTAAATTAATTCACAACTCAGATTTTATCTGTGTAATTTAGCACAGTTTCTGATTAAGAATTTTTTTTTAATTGAAGGTTTTAAATTCTGAGATGAAATTTAGCTGATAATCCAATGAATGAAAAGCTTGGAGGAATGGAAAGTTAGAGGAATTAGGTTTATTTAACCCAATGAAGTGACTCTTAGGTAACTTAAGAGTGATCCTTCACTGAAGAAGCCATTGAGGGTAGTCTTTAAGAGCATTTCAGTTGGAGTCAAAATACCTGATTTTGTCTCTCATACTCTGCATTAAGTTTTCTTGAAAAATTTTTCCTTTTGCAAAATAAGGATAAGATATCCTTTACTTAATAGCACATAGGATTATTGGGAGGATACAATGAGGCCATGTAAGTGGAAGCACTTTATGTAGTGTAGGTTTCACTATACTTATCATGTTTTTGTGAGGAAAAATTATAGACACTAGTGTTAATACAATTAAATATTGGTTTGAATTGTTTGTGAAATTTAAAAAATAGATTAATTAAAATATTTTGCTTCATAGGTTTTGTTTAATCCTTTTGATGACATCATTCCAAGAGAAATAAAAAAGCCAAAAAAAGAGAAACCAGAGGAGAAAGTAAAGACATTGAAACCCAAAGGCACAAAGTAATCACAGTAGTAAGATTTTTCTTCAGCTTGAAAAGTAACACTGGTTCATTTAGTTCACTTAATTTCCTTTTGTAAAAATTGTTTACTAGTGATGGGGAGGACAGTTTGGATCAGGGAGATACCTGAATTATAGTGTGTGTGTTTTTCTGCAGGGGCATTTCTTGTATTCAAATACAGTATATAACTTAAACTTAAGCTAAAGAAGTATTGCTTCAAATGTCCATGTAAAATCTGTGTTAATATAAACAATTAGGGTAACTATAGCAATGATCTATGTAAATGAGTTATTGAGAAATTTTTTGTTTTTCAATTAATATATTCTCAGTATAAAGAAATTGGTAAGTAAAGTATGAAGTATATGACTGAATGTTTACATAACTTTTCACTCCTTTTTTGGTGCTAGTAAAATAACCTTATAAGTATTTTTAAACATAAAGCTATTTCTGTATTTTGCATTATTTCTTTAGGATAGTTTTCAAAATATAGAAATTTCTTTTCTAAATAAGTTCCAGTATTTTGTGAACAGTATTCTTTACATTATTAGTCTGTTTTATTTAAATAGATATTAGAGAATTAAATTTCAATGGATTCTTTTATTGAATTGTGGCATCCATATTAGGGATTTTATTGTACTTAAAGTGTTAGTTTCAGACAGTTCTAAGTATAATCCTGCCTAACCCAGTTAATAAAAAAGCAAAGTTTATTAATCTTTTTGGCCTTTAGTTTCCCCATCTTATAAAATGGAGGTTATAATAAATACAACACCTGGTTGTTATGAAGATTAAATGAGAAGGGGAATTTGAAAATGTCCAGTAGTGTAGGTATTTCATACATACTCATTTTTTCCCTTGATACCCTTCAATATAAGTAAGTTAAGTTGCTTTTATAAACTCTCAGATCTGAGGCAGACATTTTAATAAGTTGAGGTCTTGTGGCAAAATAACTTCATATATAGCTATATATTTGATTTCCTTTTACTTTTTGGTTCATTTATTTTGACTAATCTTTGGGTGAAAGGTTACTCTCACTATGTTCAGATACAATATTTTATCTCTATAATTTATCTTGGCAACAAGCCCCAAAGTTGTGTGTTTTTATTTTTGTTTTTAATTCATAGTAAATATATTAGGGATGATGTAGTAGTCATTGATTGCATCTAGGTTTTGAAATAAAAGTTCCTCTTTTATTGCCAAATCTTTTATTTTTCCAATATTTGAGGAAGAGTTTTAATAACTAATTATCTTCCTTGGGATATCTTTGGTTTGAAGGCTCAAAGAAGACAGTTTTTTTTCTCCTCCTAGGCTATTTTATTTGACAATTTTGTTTAACTTATTAATTTTAAAATACTAAGCCATATTTTGGCAGACAATAGATTAATTGCTTCCCATTTGTAGTGCTCTCAGGTCTATATATTTATTAGTTTTTCAGAATTCTCCATTTTGCTAACCAGTTTTGATAAATATAAAAAGCTTAATTATTTCTGTCATGCTTGCCTTAATATATTTAATGGTAGTGCTTAGAATGGATTTTTCGTCATTAGTTTAGTCTAATATATGAAACATCTGTGGTCTGAGGCCAAAACCTTAACATTATGCTGAAAATATACGTACTTAGCATATTTGTACTGAATATTTATTGTTAAATAAAAGTAATATTTATTGTTAAACAGTAAAAATGTGTTTCTCCTTGAAAGTTCTAGCCTATTTTTTTGAGAATAGGATATTTATGAGTTTTGTTACACTTTTCTCCCTAATTTTCTTTCATTCTTTTTTCTTTCTTTTTTGCGTAGAAATTTCAGTTTGCTTTCCTTTGGAGAGGAGGCTGAGGAAGAGGAGGAGGAAGTGAATCGAGTCAGTCAGGTAAAAGGCCAGTTGCCCTTTGCTCGGAATCGAAGGGAAGTCAGGGTGTGCGTCTTGCTCGTTTTTGCATCGCCTGCTGTTTCACAGGGCGCACACTCAGTAACGCTCATTGAGCCAGTTTGCGGAACGGTTCGTGGTCGGTAGCGTTGGCACCTTCTGAGAAGGCGCCCTCTTACAAGCTCGTGGACTCGGGCAGGGAGGGTAAATGGCCATGGGAATCAGGAAAATCGTGGTGTTTGTTTTAAACCTGGAATTGTACTTGTAGTCAGTTAAAGACCTTTATGTTTGGATTTTAATGGCTATTTGTTCAATGGGTTTGGTAGGTGATAATGATTGTTTTCCTAATAAACAGTGATAGACCAAAGCTCTTATATTTATTTAAATATTTATATATATTTATTCATTTAATCAATTTTCATCACAGCCCTTTAAGATAGGTATTAGTATTATCCTCATTTTACCCATGAATAAATTAAGGTATAGAAAGGTTCTAATTTGCTCAAAGTCACAGAACCAATAAGTTGGCTTGAGCTGGGATTTAAACCTGCATCTATTCCCTATAAAATCCATGTCTTTGGATTATACTTTGCCTCCTGGCCTTCTACCCCACCAACAGGCCTTCAAGTGTGGTTCCTCAGTACCACTTTCAGCACAGTACTCATTGCTGAAACCCCTACAGTGCTCTGCCATTGTTTAGAGCAGTGATTCTGATAAGTGTACTTTAAGAAAATCATCTAAAGGGTTTTTACTCCCAAAGAGTCTGATACGTCTTCCTGGGAAATTAGTGAACTGCAATCTAAAGGATTAGGCTCAGAGTCTTTATTGTAGTAATTAAAACTTTATAACCTAGCACCTCCTTGAATGCTTAACATGTAACAAATGGTCACCTGTTTCTTATCAACACTAACAATAGTATTGACTTAAAAGCACATTATTGTTACCTTTGTCTTTCTTTATCCATGTACTTTCCTTCCCTCACCATTGAGCATGGTTTTTGTAGGCTAATGTTGAGCATATAGTAAGCACTCTACTTATATCCCTTGCATTAAAACTGAATTAAATGGGCACATATTAGAAATATTTTGGTCATAACTTTTTTTTCTCACTGACTTCAGTATTCTTGAGTGATCTGTTTGATGCTGTGATTCAATTGTCACCTGTATACTAATTTTCTGAACAAGGAGACAAGGCTCAGTGTTTTTTCTGGGCACTTATTCCTCATTCTGATTTGCCTTTAGGAAGCATCTCTCTCTACTTCGAGTGTCAAAATTAAATGCATCTTTACGTGAAAACTTTCTTTCCCTATTCCTTATCAGTATCATGAATATCTCTGTCACCCCAGTAAACTCATCTTCATTATGTGACAGTGCACTAGTCTTGCATTATTCCTGATTCAAATGTGTCCCTCATTAAGATGAAAGATTTACTGTATATCATGTTCCTGTGGGCATATTTGTAAATGGACAAAACCACAAATGTTAGATCTGGGAATTGCCAGGATTCCCTTTCATTGATATTTTCTAAAGATGTCAAATTTCCTTGAATACTCATACCTTCCCCAACGTCCTCCTACCTGTTTTTCCTTTTGCTTGGAGTGTATTCTCTCCTTTATTTGGCTAATTTTTGTTTTTTCTTTAAGATTTAGCTCCACTATCAATTCCTGACTACCTCTACCACCCTCCTGCACCCAACTCCTACTCATGCTGAGCTTAATTTCTTTCAATGGTAATCTGTCTCTGGCCTTCAGATTACTTATTATACTGCATTGTATTGGTTTATTTTCTTATCTGCTTAATATTGTGCCAAATATTTCTTTTATGTAATCTTTATAACAACCATGAGATATGTAAATTTTATAAATGAAGAAACCAGTACTCAGAGAGGTTACATTGCTTGTGCAAGACTATATAATTAGGAGGTGATGAAGTCAGAAATTTGAAGTTAGGTTTCTGTAGCTATTTAAGTCTCTAATATGATTTTGAATGCTGCAGAAGCTGCCTAGTTCAAGCACAAGCCATATAAAAGGCTTACAAGAAATTTCATTGGTAGTACAGCGTTCTGGGGTGGAAGGCTATTTTACATAAATGTATTTTCCCTTTTGTGTACGTGTCTTTGTGTCCTTTTACTCTGCCTAAAGTGTCCTATCCCACTTCTGGTTATGAAAGTCATATTTATTTTCAACACTTAAAATGCCATCTTTCCTAAATGTCTTTTCCACTTTTTCATAATCTTTTTTCTGATCCAACCTTTCCCTTTTTTGTAATCCTTACATTTTCTTTTTAAAAGCATTCTTTTTTGCTTTATTACATAAGACCCCATGGCTGTGTTCTCATTGTGTACTACTGAAACGTATGCTCTTTTCTTTGTGCCTTATTGTATAGAGTTCCAGGCTGTGAGTTCCTTGATGGTTAACTTTGTATCATCTTTGAGTGAGAGTGTGTTGGAGTAGAAATAGCATGAATTTGAGGTCATACAAACTTATGTTGGCACTTGCTGACCTCGGATAACATAGTTGAGCTTTCTGGGGTAGGAGAAGCCGTTGCTCAGTGTAACTGGCCTAGCGCACTTCCTGAGCCCTGCCGTAGGGCCCTAGGCAGCAGCTTGAGCACCCCTGGAGAGCGTGAGTGCGCACCTATACAGCTTAACCCATCAGCAACCCATTCTCCACGTGGAAGTGCGTCTGGGCATACTGTGCAGAATCTTTGGCCTACAGAATTTAGCTGTTCTGTCTACATAATGGAGTCATGGATAAATTTAGCTTGAGAAATAGAACAATAGCAACAACAAAATCATTGAAATTTACTGGCATAGAGGAGAGACAGTTTCTCTAGAGGGCAAGAGAGAAATTCAAGAGAGATTCGAAATGGAAGAGTATTTTGTTTGTTTTGCTTTTGTACTCTAGACTATGAGTTCCCTTCAAATGTATTTTACCTTAAAGGTAAAATGAAACTTTGGTACGAAAAGGGAAGTCTGGCTTGAATGTTAGAAAAGTCTGACTGATAAAATATATGTATTTTAAAATTTAGCCTGACTATTTTTAAATGTATGTAATAACTAGAAACAGAGTCAAGTGAGTGCCTTTTTCGTTACTAAGAGCAACTGCAGTTTTAGTGGGTGCATGAAGTGAAATATTTCTAGAGGACTTGAAAATAATTGTTTCACTATTCATTTGCTTATCAAATTTCTCTTTGCAGTGACTCCATAGTGTTAAGCTTTATTCCAGAACCAGTCTAACATCACAGGTTAATAATTGGTGAAGGCTGAACTGAGGCTTTACGTGAAAGGAGAGATAAGATCGAGCCCCCTCTGGTTGATGGATTATCAGTGTGGGATTACATGCACTGCTTCACCCACTCATTTACTCTTGACAAGGTGCCTCTCCCACGTGGGTTAGCTTTCTTCATTATTTATTTCAGTATCTTTCTACTACCTGATAAAAATCTCTTTTAGGATAATAGAATTTTATAGCTCAAAGGGATCTCGTCCAACTTCCTTTCTTTATAGATGGGGAAACTAAGACTCTGGTTAAGTGACTTTCCAGACTGACTTCATTTCCTTTTTGATAGGTTTGCATGATAGGGGGGTGCCATAATGACACATCTTGAGTTCTGTAAAGCACATTGTCACAGTCTCTCATGATATTCTTGTGGACAACATGAGGAAATGTGATCTGGGAGATAGTACAGTCAGACGGATTTACAGCTGATTGAATACTTCTGCCCAAAGAGTGCTTTGTTGTCAATCTGTACCTAATTACTTGAACTAGTAAGTTGAAATGTAATAGGAGCACATGTAAATTCTATACTTCAGTTTAATGAAATCAGCTGAATAGGTATAAGACTTAGTAGCCTGTAAGCCCTGGTTGAATTATTAAGAGTAATGTTCTCTAGAATAAGGAATTTAACATTCTTTGCATTTGGGGGCTCACATTTTCAGCATTTTGTTCAGTTCTGAATACATTTAAGAAGGATATTGACAAACTAGTTGCATCCAGAGGCTGGGAGGGTCTTGCAGAGGGTGGGGATGATACCAGGAACAATCTCACATGGGGAATGCCTGAAGAACGGTATACTTTGGAGAAGAAAAGCTAAGTGAAAATGTGATCCTAAGCTTCAAATATTTGAAAGGTTTTTGTCTGGAAGATCCCTCCATTTTTATTGCTTTCTTAATAGCTTCTTTCAAATGTTTGCATTGGTTTAAAGTTTACTCTTGAATCTTTGTGTATAATTTAAATTCATATGTCATAAAATATTTTCAAATGAAAGCTTATAATCAGACAAGTAGTTTTCATGAGACATCGTTAAATGGTAGATTCCATTATAAAAGAATCTCAATAGCTAGATTTAAAGAGTGATTAAATTGTACCACATTCACAATAAGTGATGCATATGAGATTTCTCTCACTTCAAGATATGTTAACATTTTTACTTCAAATCCAGTAATAAAAAGGCTTTTTTGCCTCACTCAGAAAAAGTTATATTGATAGAGAAATACACTACTTTTGAGAATAAAGTAAGAATTTTTTGACCTATTCTCATTTATTTTAAGAAATGAATGTTTCGCAAGAAGTTGGGAGTTAGGGGTAGGTCTGGCATGGAGAGTGCTGCTAGGCCATTTGCATAGAGGTTGTCTGAAGTGTTAAAATATTTCATCAAATGTTCTCCCCATTAAATTGTATTAAACTTTTACTTATCTTTCTAGTTGTTTGTATTTAACTATTTTTAAAAAGATGTTAATATATTTGTATTTATTTCTTATTTCTGCTATCAGAAGTTACCATAAATTGAGTGACTTGAAACAAAACAAATTTAGTATTTTACAGTCGTGGAGGTCAGAAGTCCAAAACAGATTTTACTGGGCCGGAAATTGAGATGTTGGCAGGGCTGCCTGCCTTCTGGAGGCTCTGGGAGAGCCTGTTATCTTTCCAGCTTCTAGAGACTCCTTGCATTGCTTGCCCTGTGTCCCGCTTCTTCCATCCTCAAAGCCCACCGTGGCTGGTCAAGTCTTCCTCCTGCTCCATCATTCTGAACCAACTCTTCCACCTTCCTTGTCACTTGAAAGGACTCATGGGATTACACTGGGCTCTCCCTGATGGATCAGGATAATCTCCCCATCTCCAAATCCTCAATTTATCTACAGAGTTCCTCTTGCCATGTAAACACCTTCACAGATGTGAACATCTCTAGGGGCCATTATTCTACCTACCAGTATACTTGTATCTAAACTAAGCTCTGTAGTATATCTAATAACAGAAATGTTTGTAGTTCATGTTTAGTTCTAGAAGCTAGAACTAGAATTGGTTGGATGTGCGGAAATTACACATAGATTTTTTCCTCTCCAATTAAAGAGAGAATTGTCCAATAATGGGAAGCATTTAAAAGGGAGTAATTTCGTGTGTTTGAGGTTAAAGTTAAAATATATTAGGTGTTTGTTTTTCCTCTAAAATTATTGTTACCTGATGGTATAAATAAGAACCTTAAAATAGGTTATTCCAAAACATAGGTATTAAGGGGAAATATCTGAATTTATTTTTACCCTCTTTGGGATTATCTCAGAATTTTTCCAGTTCTTCCACAATTTGTACTTTTCTGCCTGAGAGTTGCAAAGTCTACTATAGTGGGAAGGAACACCTTAAAAATAGCTTTTGACAAACAAAATAGAAATAGACTCATAGATGCAGAGATCAGACTTTTCAGACTGATGGCTGTCAGAGGGGGCTGTGTAGGGGGTTGGGTGAAAGAGGCGAGGGATTAAGAAGTACAAATTGGTAGTCACAGAATAGTCACGGGGATGGAAAGTGCAGCATAGGGAATAGAGTCCATCACGTTGTAACAACTACGTATGGGGCCAGGTGGGTACTGATTGTCTAATCACTGTGCCATACACCTGATACTGATACAAAATAATATTGAATGTAAAATGTTATTGAAAAGTAAATAAATAAATACATTGCTTTTGATCATATTTTTCTATGCTAATTTAAGAAGTTATTTTAAATTTGAAATGTTAATGGCCATTCAGATTACTCCACAGGTTCCTCTTATTGAAGTCTTATTTTAAATTAATACAAGACTATTTTCTTCTTTTTCCTACAGGCTCTTTGAAGTTTTAAGCAATAACTAAGAATCCATTTTTAAACAACTGTTAATTAAACTAGCAGTTGTAAACTAACTTTTACAAATAATTGAAATAGTATAGCTCATTAATGGGCCAGGAACCCAGAAACCCGAATTCTAATCTTCCTCCTGCTGTTATTAGTATCACTCATTTTCTGATCTGTTACCTACAAGGCTGGACTGGAAGGTCTGAGTCCACCTCTGGCTGTGATGTTTATGATTGTGGCTCCATGAAGGAGCCACATGGGGTGACTTCATAGGGGAATATGTCTTAGAGTAGATAAAGATAAGCATTTATGGCTGGAGATGGAGGAGGAAGAAATTTTCAGGAAGGAAAGCATGTATAAAAGATGTTCAAATTTTATTCCGTTTTAGTTCATTTTATGTTTACTTGTACACTTTTGCACATATCTCATTTAATCCTTTTGTGAAATAGGCAAGGCTGCTATTATTACTTCCATTTTGTAGGCAAGGGTTCTGAGGTCTAATGAGGTCATTCTGTTTCCCTAAATGGTACAACTTTTAGACTAAAGCTCATAGAATTACTGAATATTAGGTTTAGAAACTCATTTGATCCAACTACCATCTTTCTTTTATGTCCTGTGTTCTTTCAACTACACCACCTTCTGTTTTTTAAACATTTTTCAACTTTCATATTGGACAAACATATCAAATAATTAGCTGATGTTTTACCTTTTCATCACTCCTTGGTTTATGTAAGGTTATGGATTTAGAAATATAGATAGCTCGGCGGGCGTGGCTCAGCGGTTGAGGGTTCCTGGTCAGGGCACATGCCCGGGTTGCAGGCTCCATCCCCAGTCGGGGGCGTGCAGGAGGCAGCCGATCAGTGACTCTCTCATCATTGATGTTTCTATCTCTCTCCTCTCTCTGGAATCAATAAAGATATATTTAAAAAAAAGAAAGAAATATAATTACATAATTTAGATTCTGACTTTTAAAAACTATAGACAAGTAGCATCTTTTTAACTGGGAAAGGTTTTTTGTTTTGTTTTGTGATACTAGACTGTAAGCATGTTTTAATTAATTTGATCTTTAAAATGTGGAGAATTTCATGTTAATACAAAAATTTTAAAATCTATTATTTTAATAATGGAAATATATTTCAGAAGGCATACTTTGCCTCAGAGTAAGACCTATCAAATTTAGAAGATTGTTCTCAAAATTGTTAAACAGTGGTGAATGAGGCTTAAGGGAGGTAGTTTCACCTCTCTGTATCTGACATTTTAGATTTTCAGTTAACATATTTTGCAATGAATTTTTCAAAGTAAAATTTTCTTTCAAAATAAATGGAAGTTATTCTTCAACTCTAACCTCTCAGTATGCACTCTTAGTTGATTAGTTGAGGGATAGAGGTGGTGAGCAGTTTCCCACCTCAAGGTATAAATTTAAAGACCCCTTCCCCCCTATGGTGGGGAAGTCTAGGACGGCCTGCAGCTCTGAAGCCTCGCCAGTGTTCTGGGTCCATAGGAGCCTCTAGGAAAAAAATAGACACCTTTACATTCTTGGTATATTATTGTAAGGCAGAACTAGATTTAAATCCTAGATCCTCTAATATTGACTGGCATTGTGACCTCTAGTAAATTACATAATTTAAGTCTTTTTCTTTTTTGATCTGTTAAATGGGGTTAATATGCCTACCTTATATATTTTCATTTGGGGAAGGGAGGAAATGGGTAGGAATACTGTACTGCAGCACAGTGCCTGGCACAAAGCATATACTTAATAATAATAGTAGTAGTAGTAATTTCATAGTTCTACTTCTTGTATCTTCCTATGTCTTGTTTCTCTACTAAAATATAAATTTATTGAGAACATCAACTTTGAAAGTAAAGCATTTACTAAGTATTTGTTCATTGACGAATGCTGTCATACTGGAGAGGCTCTTCCACATATGTGTTTTCTACTTGTTGGATAGTGCCTCCTAGGTGCACTCATTTGGTTGCTTGGGTATGTTTTAAAAGTGATTCTGCAGTGCAGAGAGTATATTTAAAGGATAATTGTATACATTTATTTCAAATTCCTCTTCTGATTTATCTTCTAAGTTTTAATACCTGGGTCAAAAATTAATTAGTTTAGCTGCATGGCAATAATAATGAGGATTTAGTGTTTGGAAATAGTGATCAATAAACTTATTTTCAAGGATATATCACATTTTGAAAGAAAAAATATTCCTAAAGTAACATTTTCAGTCCATTCAGTAATCTTATTTAAAAGCTTTAGTTTATACGGAAATTTTCAGGAACACATCTCTTTTGCTAACCACATGTATCAGTACTAGAGTTTATGTAAATTTGTTAACTTGTTCTTTTGGAAGACTGCTTCTCCCCATTCACGAGTTTATCTTATATCCGTTTCTAGAGCATGAAGGGGAAAAGCAAAAGCAGTCACGACTTGCTTAAGGATGATCCTCATCTCAGTTCTGTTCCAGTCGTTGAGAGGTTAGTACGGTGCTCCTGTGACCCTGAGTTCTTATTTTCTGGCCCAGGTAATTTATAACTTCCTTTATGAATAAACAGTCGTTTCTCATAAGTCAGATTTTTTTCAACTCAGCCAGGAAGCTAAAGCATTTTGATGATGGAGGTAGTAGAGCTTCTAGCATAATGGAGGGAAGCACTGTGGTTACTTTCACTCTTCCTGCTATCTACCTCAGTTCAACTCATTACATTTAAAATAAATTGTTAAACTTTTGAATCTTGGGATAGTTTGAAGTCTAGGAAACTGTTTGCTTGAACAGTTTTATGTTTAATTCAGAGTTGCTTTGCTAACTTTTCCCTTCAAGTATTTTTGTCTCAGTTGGTATGATGGGTAAAGAAATCAGAGTTAAAGGGTTTTGTGAAAGTTGACACATTTTGGGTCAATCCATTGAATATTACTTCTTACATATTTCAGGAGTCAACAGAAAATTGTCTTACTATCTTTGTTGCTTCTCTTTGAGAAGGGAAGGTCTTACTGTTACATATAATTACACATGATATATTGGGCCAGTGTCTTAAAGGGGAACTAAAATATTGTTGTACTAGGTTTAGCTCATTTTCAAAAATTATGTTTCAAAACAGTTTTTTTTTAATATCGTTGTATTGGAAGGATTTGGTTTCATCAGCCAGAGCACATCAAGCCAATGGAAGAAACTGTTTTCTACAGCACTTTGTTCATAAAATACATTGTTCTCTATTGTTTGCATTTTGGTCTTTTAATTCTGTTGATTTTGTGTATGTGCTAATGGAGTATACCTCTTATTCTATTTATAAAAAATGACTCATTTTTAGGTTGCTTCCATTTACTGTAGAATGCCTTTCTGAAATTCCTAAGTTGAAATAAGTTTTTTTGAAGTATTAATCTAGCAAAATATTCTAAATTTGGGGGTTATTGAATAATTTTATAATTCATTTTGCAGCTGAAATTTACTTGTTTTTATTATTTTTTAGTGAAAAAGGTGATGTGGCAGGAGATTTAGATGATGTGAGTATTTTGTATAAATATAAGTTGAACAATTTACAGAAAATTCAAAATGTTTATAAAAATTAAATTGTTTTTCTTAAAAGGTTATATATTATTTTTATAATTATACAAATAAAATTTTGAAAAAATTTGAAAAGTGTTATTTATTTTGATACTATATTTTCTTCCAAGTATATGTCTACATGGTTGTGGAATCTTATATATGAATTGCTAGCCCGCTTTTCTCCCTATGATAAAACATTACTTGAATACTCAAAATTCAGATGTCATTAATTTTATTTTATTTTGTTAAAAGTTGAAATGTTGATGCGTAGGTATCCTACATAATGTATGGGAAATGCTTGGATCAGTCATTTATAGTAGTAGTATTCCTTCTTTATACACACATTTCAGAAGATCCACTTTCATGACTATAATGGTCTTTATTTATTAGTTGTACTGGCTTAAAGCTGATAAAACAGAAGGCAGAGTTTCCTTTATATAAGAGATCAGGTTTTTCAAGTCATCCATTTGTCACTTTATGTAAAAAAATTATTGATCTGTGCACTGTGTATAATTCAAAATTTTGTATAAAGTTTAAATGTTGAAAATTACATAACTTTCTATGCATTAACACAGCTTCATCTATTACCACAGTCAAAAGAGAGAGTTCTTTCTGACTATGGATCGTAGAGAAAGGATAAAGGTCTTTTCAGGAAACTGTTCAGGAAAACCTTCCTGGAAGAGATGGGAAAGAGACTTGAAAGATATAGTCTAGGAGGTGACTCATACCATACTATTAGGTGAAGGAGAGGGACGAGTCTAGGACAACCACAAGGTTTCTAATTTGGGCAACTTGTTAGATGGCTTGAGGTAGGGAGAAAGATGAAACTAATGTGGTTAATTTTGTTCATTTTGAGATTCAGAGTACTTGGAGGCACCTGTGTAACAATAATATGAGTCTGGAAGATAGTATCAAGGCCTGATATAAAAGTATAGATCTGTTCTCGTGGTCTTGGTTGGGGTAAGGCCATCTAAGGATAGTGTGTGGTCTCTCACCTGTTTTGTGTCCCAGATCCTTTGCAGTCACTTAAATTGTAGACCTTCCCAGGAAATATACTACATCCACACACAAAAATTTTTATGAATTTGCAGGGGACTTTTTAGATCTCCTGAGGACTAACCATGAAATACCTACATCAGTGGCTATCAACTTTTAGGGCTGAAGAATTTCTTAAACCTCTCACTGAAAACATTCACAATTTCTATTCCTAGGGATTTGGTTCAGAAAGACTGAGATGAGGGCTAGGATTTTATATTTTTTTAACAAACAATCCATGTTATATAGTCTGAACACCAGACTTTCAGGACCACTGCTCTAAGGGTCTACAACCTCAAGTTAAGAATCTTGCCTCACCATGACTCAGCTGATCAAATAAACAGAATAGAAAAAGACCCCCTTGAAGTAGCATCTTTCTTCTCCTCCCTCCTTCCCACCCTCCTTCCTCCTCCTTTCTGTTAATGCTGGGAACTATTCTGGAAGTTGAAGATACAGCAGTAGGCAAAATAGTCCAGAATATTAACCCCCATGGAGTACATGCTCTAATTATGGGAGAGAGACTTTAAACACATAACTAATTAAAATGCATAGTATGTCAGATGGGTGATAAATGCTTAGGGGGAAAAACAGGGAAGGGGAATAGAGTACTGGAGGTGGGTGGGTAGTTCTCCCATTTTATTAGGGTGATCAGGATAAGTATCACTGAGAGGGTAACATACGGGCAGAGATCTGAAGGAAATGAAAGGGAAAGCAGTGCAGATATATGGAATAAGTGTCTCAAGCTGGGGAGAACAGCAGCTCCAAAGTTGGCTAGTGTTGCTGGGATGGAGCTGTATGACATCATGTCAGGGAGGCACAGATTGTGTAGGGCCTTGAGTGAATTGAGGGTTCGTTGGAGAGTTTTGAGAAGAGGAGTAACTGATGTGACTTAGATTGTAGGAAGACATCTCAGCTGTCCCACCTCCACCTCTTCTATTGAATTAATCCCTGGTTGAGGTCAGTATGCTGGTGAGACAGAAAGAAAACAGTTTGCTACACAGAGGGGCTGGGTGTGAATTGTGTAGACCCTGAGTGGGGGATCTCACACTTACATAGTCCACCCAGAGCAGGTGCCGGGGGATTCCCACTTGCAGCAGAGTCTTCAGCCTTTATTAATTCAAAACAGAACAAAGCAAAAAAACAAACCTGGCCTGGGATGCCAGGAGGAGAGGCGGAGATGGACCTCTGGAAGTGAAGGCCAAATGGAATGCCCAGCAAATTCTCCATTTCACTTTCTACAGGATGAAGAATTTGAAAGTGCAGAGCATGATGAAAATATTGATGGTGATGAGAAGAACATGATGAGAGAGAGAATTGCAAAAAAGTTAAAAAAGGACCCAAGTGCAAATGTAAAATCAGCTGGAGAGGGAAATGTGGAGAAGAAATCAGTTAGCCGCAGGTGAGTTGGTTATTGTGCTTCTGGATATCAGAGTATTTGTCTTTTTAGACTTCATTTTAAATTAAGATTGTGTACTCTATTCAACTTATTTTTTAAAATACTATTTTTGTAATGTTTGACATGCTAGTTGTCCTAAATTGGCCCATATGGAAGACTAAAAGAAAATAGACCAGTTTTAAAGTAATTACAGCAATGGTCCTATGAATCAAATTTCTCTTCATTTCTCTCTGATCTCTTTTTGAAAAATCTCTATAAAATTTTATATATGGGGCGGGCGATATATTAGCTAAATGTGGAAAGTTGTGTTTGTTTAATCAATGAGAGCAGTAGAATAATTGTGTAGAATGAAAAGAGAGGTCTTCACATTTAGGTGAGTAAAATTTGTCAAAACTGGGTAAGAAAGTGTATGGGCATGAGAGCATTCTTAAATACCTTTTCAAGTCTGATTTATACCATGTACCCTTCCTAATCCCAATGGTATTATAAAAAAATTTCACCAATGTCTGATAAAGAGTTGTTGAATTTTGTGACTCAACGTTTTCTTCCCCTAAAATTCAACTTAATTGAAAAACTTTCCTTTGTGATTCTGTTGTTATAACTTTATGGTATATATTTTAAATAATATTGCTTTTAAAAAAAGTAACAGTATTTGGTTTCTTTGGATGGCCTACGTTTCGGGGTAAGATAGATGTAACTGCATATAAACAACATTCTTTTTTTGGTTATGTTTCTCAAGCTCATATAAAAAACTTAAAAGGTATTCCCATGTTGTCATTGCTTAGCTCCCTTAATTTTTTCCTGTATGTAACAGAAAAGTAATTCCTGGAAATTGTCACTGATTGTATAATATTTTACATTCAGAAATGGTACTTAGAAGTTACTTTAAGTATCTTTTTTTCTGCAGCAACATTCACCTGACAAGTAATCACTGTTGAATGATTTAAGATAGTAGATTAACTTTGGGCCACTGGTAACTGAGGGTTTCGGTGATTATGTATATGCTCATTCATAAATGGAGGTGATGAGCCTCCCGCCACTTCTCTCACTTTTAGCCAAATCATGAATATAATCATTTTTTTCTCATTCAAAACAAGTGTTTTCTGATTTTTAAGAACTATGAATTAAGTTTATAACGTGACAAAAAATACATTTTGAATTTTAATAAATGAACCAAATATTTATTGTTTAAATGATTCCTTAAGTGTTCAACTTTATCTTGTTGGCCTCAATACAATTTCAAATACTTATAGACCCTGCAATTAATAGAACGTATAATTTAGCAAAGCTGGTTTCTGTAAGAACTAAAGAAAGCTTATTTGACAAAAGTGGCCTTAATAAACATCAGACTTCTCTTTGTAAGTGTTCTCTTCCCCAGATTTTCAGTGTTCATACCTTCTCTCCCTCCATCCTCTCTCTCTCCTACCTATGACGAGAAGTAAAAGAAAAATTAGATCAGGAGAAAGTGCAGAATTTCTAAGGGAAAACACAGTGTTTCACTCTTGTTTATAAGTTTCCAAATTGTCTCATTACCATTTACTTTAATTACAAAAAATTTCCAAAATCATTAGTGCTTTTGATCAGTTATACTAGCATCACTGTAGTTTAACTCTCAAGTTAGCTTTATGTTAAAAAACAGAAAACCTCTAAGAGTCTTAAAAAATTGTAAGGTGGTGAAAAGGATAATTATATTTAAAGGAAAATCACTGTGCAGTCTAAGTTGAATTATAAAGGAAGTAGTGCCAGCCGGCTAGGATGTCCGTGTGAAATCACTATCCACTTAAAACTCAGTGCTCTTGCTATCTGCAAACTTTTCATCTGGATGTGCTTGAAGTTCTCTGTTATCCTCTGCTCCGTTTCCTGTTTCCTGTTCCAGCAGGAGGGATCAGGGACTAGACTAGCCTACCAGCCCTTTGGGCAAGGAGCCATTCAAAGTATAATTTTCCTGAAAACTTTTGGTATTGCTTTTATTGGTAAAGAAACATCTGGAATCTGTTACAGCTGTTTATCACTTTGGATGTTAAACCTACAGCAGGTTTGTTGAGTACTTAATATTTAGGCTGAGGAATGGTATTTAACAATATCATTTTCAACAAATTTGCATAGAGTAGAATCTTCCCCTAAGAATGTACTCTCAGCAATGTCTCTAGTTGTTCCATTCGATAGTACTCAGGGGTTCAGGAGAAAGAAATCCAAAGCTCTTCCTACTTTCTCTCCTTTGTTTTTCCTCCTTATACTTATTCTGACTTCCTCAGGATTTTGGTCCCTGGTCTCCTCCCTTTTCTAAATGCATCTGTCTCACTCTGTTGTTCAGCCCCCCTTCTCTAAGCCTCTACCTTGACTCCTGGATGTTGATGAACAAAATCACACAGCCAAATAGAAGCCCAGCCTTAGCTGTGCCTGCACTGCTTCTTCATCACCCAGCTCCCCAAGGGGGTTGCTTCAGCCGCAGTCTCACCCTCATCAGGTCACTGGCTTCCCGTTCCGTGAACTAGGAGCACCTTCTCCAGCTCTTAACTTTCTTCTCTTTGAACCCTTACTGTTTAAAGGGAGATGAATCCCGCCACCCTTTCAAAATGACTCCACCCTCTTTCCTTTGTCTTCAGTTTTCTCTCTTCGCTGCTTCCCTTCCTTCAGCTTGTGTTAACCATCTCCCAGCATCAAGAGTGAAACCAAAACCACTCATTTTATCTCCTGTCCCCACTTCCTTACTTTGCGTTTATTTCTAAATACACATCATTTAGCTTTTCCCTCATCAGACCACTGAAACTGCTCTCACTAAGGCCACCTAATTGTCAGATGTAATGGCTACTTCCAGCTTTTGTTTTTCTTGGTGCCTGTGCTGTGGAATTTGGCATTTTTATCTGTCCTCTTGAAACTTACCTTCTTCAAGAACTTGATTGTTAAAATGTGATCTGTGGACCAACAGTAATTAGTCACTTGGGGACTTTTTAGCAATGTTGAGTCTCAGGCCCCACTCCACACTTTTTGAATCAGAACCTGCATTTTAACAGGATCCCCAGGTGATTTGTATGTATATTAAAGTTTGAGAAGCACTCCTCTAGCATGTTAATTTTTATCCCCACTGCTACTAGACTGGTTCAAGTTTATGTCATCTTAACTCCAAGGTCAGCTACTTGGTAGCACCTTCCCTGACTCCCAGGGCATTCCTGTTGCCCCTTTCTGACACTTCTGCGATAGGTAGTATGACATTAGGTTATACTTTTTTCCCTCTTTCTGTACTTATACTGTTTAACTTTCTCGAAGGCAGAGATTGTGTCCATTTATGTTTGTGTCTCTGTAGTCAAACATCATAGGTACCTAAATATGTGTATAAATGTATGAACAAAAAAATAAGTGAATCCTTTATTGACAAATAACTTTTTCCTCCAGATCTTGTAAGTAATTTGTTTATATTTATCACATGGGATATATTGGTCTACCTGTCCCTTACTGAGACATGGGATGTATTGGTCTGCCTGTCCCTTGCTGAAACTGAGCTCCTTCAGAGGCTGTCTTATTTGTCTTTACATCCTCTGAGTCAAACATAGTATTTGGTTATTAAAATGTGTGTAATAAGTGGATGAATAAATGAATGAATACAGTTGTCATTCATTAGCGGAATGTTTTTCATTTTCAACTGCACACTAGATTCACTAGATTTCACTCCCGACTGCACATTAGATTCATATTAGGTTCACATTAGATGCCTGGGCCTCACTCTACAGATTCTGAGTCATTTGATCTGCAGTGAAGCCTGCGCACATCCTTTTTTTTACTTTTTAATTTTTAATTGAAGTATCACATACATATGGAATATATCTGTATAAACTATATTTCATAGCACATGTATCATAAGTGTACAGCTTGCTGAATTTTTACAAACCAATACACCCATATACCCATCACCCAGATCAAGAGGGAAAACTGCTATTACCTGGAAGTCTCCCTCCTTCTCCATTCTGGTTACTTTCCCCTCATCTCCTGATAGTAACCACTTTCTAACTTCTAAAAACACACATTAATTTAGGGCAATAATACTTTGTAAAGATGCTCCAGATAGTCTGCTGTGCATCCAGGGTTAAGAGCCCTCCTCTCCACCAAACACACACTCCTTGATCACTTCCGAGGTATAGAATAACATAAAAGTGGATTTAAACATTCTGGTATCACCTCAGATCTTTTTTGCAGTCTAACAGGGATAAGACATTTATATCAACTAAAGTGAGTTTCAATCTTTGAAAAAGATAAGAGTCATTATAGTGGAAATCAAGTAACTTTAGAAGAAGGAAAATAAGATATTTGAGTATTCCTAATGTTTTTAAAAGATGTATGCTGGTAAGGATTTAAATCAGTGTCTTTTAACTTGTTCTGTATATTTGGATTACCTGAGAACAGGTGGCCGCCCACCTGATCAAGTCAATCAGAATTTTTGGTGTGGGATCATAGAAGTTTTAAAAAGAACCCAAGTTATTCTGATGTGCATTCAAGGTTAATTGAAAGTTTGGGGTAGTTGGAGTTTGTCTTTTGGAAAGTCCTATTTTAAAGAATCCTTTTCTTGCCTGTAGGTGGAGCTCAGCTTCTGCTAGTTAATCATGGAAACCAAATTGAGTTGTCTGCCCTCCTTGTTTTTAGCATCTGTGTATTGATTCATAGTAAATGGCCAGTGCAATCAGATGTAACAAGTGACTAGATAGTCAGAAATCAGTGTTTTGTTGTGATTACAGTCATTATGGAAATTCTCTTTTACTGTGTAATTTCTATCATTGGTAATTTTATTGTGATTACTCTTCTAAATTATTTTCATCAAATTGAAATATAAGTCAAAGAAACCTTGACACATACCATCAAATCACAGTTATTAAATATTTGATAGTAATCATTCAAGGTTCATCAGAGAGGTAATTAGTTTTGGTGTTGAAACAGTTACTGTGGTACTATTTCTTTTTCATAAACCACCTCTCTTATTTGGTAAAGTTAAGTAGAATTTGTGTTTTACTCATGAGCTGTTTTAGGTTGACTGAATATAAAATATCTTACTATAATGATAGCATCAGGAATTTAGATATGAATATTGCAGTTGAAATTGAATATCTAATGAGTTGGAGTGAACTTTAAATTATGAAGCGAGGGACAATAGTCATAAATACCTCCTGAGGGAGGCCTGGGTGAACACCTAGATGAGCTGTTGCTTTTTGCTATTTTTAGTCTTTCACATCTCCCTTTGTTAGGATTTCTTATGGAACTTTGAATAATTTTCCCCCCCAGTGTTTCTAGCCTCCTCGAAACATTAATAGTTTTTCTCTTAGCCTTTGGAAATTTTTGAGTTTTAATATACTTTGTATTCTGGTTTCTCTTACTTAATGATTAGACTTAGGATGTATAGAGTTGTCTTTGTATATAAACTCTGTTTGCTTTAGCAAATTCAAAAAGATAGGACTACACTTAAATTTCAGAAATTTAAAAGATAGTACACATTTTAAAATGATAGTAGAAATTTTAAAAGACTACAGTAACAAAGATCAAAATCCATAGGCATTCTAACAACCCTTTTAAAACCATTAGAAACATCATCTCTAAGAAGTCCCCCTCTTCATCTCCTCTCTGGAACATTTATGAGCAAGGAGTGAAGTTGAACAGCTAGAGCATTTCTGCTTCCTTTCCCCTTCTTTGCTCAGGATGTTGTACTTAAGCAAACAGTAAAAGGGAGTAAGGAAAAGAAACACAAGATCTATACACTGGGCAACTGTTCTCTGAATAAAGAAAAACTTCATTTATTATTTCTTTGGTATGGAGTAGTAGTGGTCCAAATATTGTATTTCCAAGACATATTTGGGTTTAACAGTAGATAGGAAGCTTTGGAGCAGTCCTAATTTTAATGAAGCTTGCATTTACTAGAAGTTGGTTTTCAGTTTTTATATGTTCTTTCCTGACCAATCATTCTATTCTCAACACATGTTACTCTTGTTGGGAGTCACTGTGCAGGAATTGCTGTGTGCCAGACAGTACTAGGCTCCAGGGACATGAAAATAAGGGAGAAATGTTTTCTGTCTGCAAACTTTCATAATATAGTATAAGAGTAATAATTAATAAGCAGTTAACTACAGTTCAGTATAGAAGTGCTCTAATAGAAGTATATGCAAAGAATTATGGAGTCTGAGCAGACAATATGTATTTCAGGAAAGGTCAAAGTACCAGGTGAAAAAAAGGGTTGAATATGAAATTGCCATTTCTGTAGGTCAAGAACAGTTGAATATCAGCAATTTCGTAAATTTCACCCTTATACTAGTAAGATAAATTAAACCCCCTTTTTTTGGAGCCATTATTTAAAAGACATAAAATTTTAGCATTAAATGAAATCCTTTAAATTAATGTTGCATAATCTCCTAATATAGATTAGATGGTGGTTCTATTGCTTTTACCTGTTATGTGTAAAATTTTGACAGTAGCAATTATAATATAAACCATACCATCATTTTGCATTTCTGGCAAGCTTCCATTTTCCTTCTGTTTGGATCTTTATAGCAAGAATTTTGGATATTCTGTACAAAACTGTTTCTTGGGCTGTTTGAAATAAAATACCACTTTAAAAATGTCCAGTTAATTCATTGAGAACCTTAATCCATATCCAAGAAATCACCTTCAAAATAAAACAAAACAAAAAATTCTTGAATTTCAGTTGTATGACTCAGAAATATGACAACCCTGCTGTTTTTCCAATTAGATTTTGTAGGGCAGACAGGAAGCAGTGAAATGCACATGTGGGGAGATTGTCCTATCCAAGTGAAGAGAGGTATTTGCATCTCTTTAGAATGTGTTGATTTGTGTTGCCCTTCAGAGTTACATTCGATGGATCTTGCATTACCAGTTGTTTATAGGGAATGGAATTGTACCTTTGACATGTAGTATGGAGATTATGTGCAGAAAAACGTTCTTTAAGTATTCAGCATTTGAGGAAGTGCTCTCTCTCTACCCTGGAACATACATAATCAGGTTGGAAAGTTTTGAAGTGTTCATTGCTTTCCTGCCTTCCTAGTCCTCCTAATGAATTCACCTGTAGATTAAATTGGCAAGTATAGCCTGGCCAGCGTGGCTCAGTGGTTGAGCATCAACCTATAAACCAGGAGGTCATGGCTCTATTCCCAATCAGGGCACATGCCCTGGTTTCAGGCTCCCATCCCCAGTAGGGGAGCACAGGAGGCAGCTGATCAATGGCACATCATTGATGTCTCAGTCCCTCTTTTCCCCTCCCTTCCTCTCTCTGAAATCAATAAAAACGTATTTTAAAAAAATTGCAAGTATAGTTTGGGTAAAATGAAGAGGAGAAGGGCCACCCAACACACAAAGTTCTTTGTTTAGCACTGGGTTAAAAGCACATGAAATTACACAAGGACCTGACAGAAAATTATAGTTAGTGATTTTATTTTTTCTATTTCTAGCCTTTTTTTCCCCTGCCAGGGATTTTACTACTTTTCAGATTTCACTTTGCTTTTGCACATTTTGAGTTTCTCCTTTGTACCAGGCACTGTGTTTGGTCTCAGGATGCTCAGATTAGTAAGTCAGTCTCTTTTCAAGTTGCTTAGTGTCTAGTAACACATCTCGTGTATAAGCAAGCAAGGGCTGTGAAGTGTTCGTAGGTGCTTTAGCCAGAGAGCTGTCTGCTGTTCCAGAAATATATTGTTCTTTTACAACATGGCCACACACTTTGCCAGATCAACTTATTTCTCTAAGTTAACCCTCATAATAAATCATAATTTGTATTATGATTCTCATTTTACAGATGAGAAAACTGGACTTAAGGAGGTTGAGTGACTTGTGGCTGGAAAGTGGCAAAGCCAGTACTTGAACCTGCAGTGGTCTGACACAGTTAATGGGGCCACACCAAAAAATATTATATGTTTTACCAGTCTGACCAAAAAATAGGTATTATTTTGATTCATTCACACTGTGTTGGCTGTTGGCATTTTTTATTTGACAACCTAAGGGAAAAGAGGTCGGCATCCCTGACTAAATAGTCAGGTATTGCATGTTTTAAAAGTTCTTGCAGCGCACCGATTGAAAATCACTGGATTAGAGGAAGGAGACTGAAGCAGAAAGACAAATTCATAGATTATTACATTATCCCAAGGGAGAGGTAATTCGGGTCTGACTAAAGTAGTATCTGTAGGGAGGGATTTGAGAGATATTAAGGAGCTAACAGATAGGACGTAGGGAACATGAAGGAAAGTTACAACTTTCTTGTTAGATATTTTAAGGATCCTTTGGTTGTAGGGAATAGAAACCCATTCAAATTAGCTGAAGTAAAGGGAATTCTATGTATGGAATAGGGGAGTTGCATAAAGTCTGGATAAAAGAATTACATACAGGCCTCACAGGAAAGGAAGTTGTCAGAAACTTGTATTTTCCCTTTCCCTCTGCAGCCTCAGACTTTCTGCTATTCTCTGTTCATATGTTCCATTATCTTTTACAATCTGTGTTTTCTCTGGAGGGCTCTAGTCTTGTATCTCTTGTAGTTCAACTCTTCAGTAGTAAATTGACTTTATTTCTGGGTCCCAAATCCAAATTCTCAGGACAGAGAATCTTTTGGCTTGGTTGGATTAGGTATCCATTTAGTTTTGTTATTTGAGGTGATAATGATAATGAAGGGGAGTTAAAAAAACCATGAGGTCTGTGGGTGTGACAGAGATGGCTAGTCCTTCCATCAGCTCCCCTTCCCTTCTTAGTAATATGAACCCCAACTTTTAGCTGGACTTGTGACTGCCTAGTAAAAGACATTCACCAGTCTCCTTTGTAGCTCAGTATGACCTTGTGATCAAATTCTGGCTAATGAGATGAGACAGAAGTGTGTCAGACTTTCAGGCAGCCTTTTCTAATGGAAAGAAGGAAGGGACTAGCCCTCCTTCCTCCCTTCCTCTGGCTACCAGCCACACACAGGCTGGAGCCTGGGTCCTGGAAGACTTCATGGAAGCACTATTTCAGCTTGCATTGTCTATCTTTGGACTTTTTCCATGTGAGATAAAATAACCCTTGTGTTGTCAAAGCACATTACTTGGGGTTTCTGGTAGGTGTAGCAGAGTCTAAACCTGTCTGCTACAGTAAGGTTTTTCTCCCAGAGCTGTGCATAGCGTGGGCTCTCTA